CCTGCACCAGTCTCACTGTGCACCTGTTGGATGGACCATGGTCCCGCCAACTGTACCCCATGATCCGGCACAAGGATCTGTTACAAAAGGCGTCAAGACGAGATTCCAAAACATAAGGTAGCGTCTAGATTTCACTACCGTATAGTAAAACTGGCAGTATCAGGGCCTTGAAGACCCGTAGCTTGGTCCTTTTGCACATTTATCATTTATCATTTATCTCCAAATACTCTTGTCGAGAGATTTCATGACCCCTGCTGCCTGGCTAATCCATCTACTGACTTCCTGGTCTGAAAGGCCGGAGTCATGAACTGCACTACCGAGGTATATAAAGCTCTCTGTGACCTCGATGTTCTCATCACAAGCACGTACCAAATGAACAGAATATCTTAACAGGCCCCCAAAGCTCTGCATCTTGATCCTGGTCCAGGAGACCTCTAGCTCCAAGGACTTCGCTTCATTGCTAAATGCATCAAGAAACCGCTACAAGGGTTTCCAGAGATTCAGATAGAATGGCAACATCATCAGCAAAGTCAAGGTCTATAATCTTGATATTGCCGAGAGTTGCTCCACAGTGACTTTAGACAATAGCTCTACCCAGTATCAAGTCCATCCAAGTGTTGAAAAGTGTCGATGCAAGTACACAGCCTTGCCTCACTCTTGAACTAACAGGGAAGAAGCTCGACAGGCCTCCACCACACTTTACAGCACTTTCAGTATCAGTATACAGGCTTGATATTAATCCAATAATCCATGTTGGAATTCCACTTAGTCTCAGGGTCTCCCAGAGTGATTCGCGATGCATCATATCAAAAGCCCTCTTGAGGTCGATATAAGCTGCCCACATCCAAACTCACACCAACGCTCTGCAATGACTCAAAGCACCAGAAATACAGATTGCTCCGGTCTCTGGTGCCTCATCAAGTGGTCTTTGGTACGTCTTAGATGGATGTGAGTAAGAACCTTGCCCGATATACTGAGAAGTGTAATGCCTTGGTAATTGCTGCAGTCTCACCTATCCCCTGTCCCCCTCAGCAGGTCAGGGGGAATGGTACCAGTCTGCCAGATAGCAAACAAGACAGCATGCAAGTCCCTTGCCATAGATTCTCCACCAGTCTTTAACAGTTCAGCTGGGATGCTGCAGGTATCACCTGCTTTACCAGATTCAGTCAGGGAGGTGGACCCTTGCTAATGGGTGGATCTGGCAAAGGAATCTCGACACTACCCACGTCCAAGTGGATCAACCTGATACAACTGCTCAAAATACTCAACCCAACACACCTACACCTGTGAGGAGGGCTTGGAGTTCAGCTTTCTCAGGGCTTGTTAGGCAGGACGAAGGTCATTTATTAGGACCTCCTCTGCAAGATTCCTGTTCCTGTGATCTAGTCCTGTACACCAGGGAATGGTGCAAATCGCGATCCCCTGGCAGTCAGTCCATGCGACAAGCATCAGTGGCTTCCAGTATCTCTTGTGAGATGAGATTCTGCCTTGCTCTTGTGCATTCACCAATCATTTCCTGGGGTGCACAGAGCGTTTCATGCTTGAAGGCCCCCAAATGCTGTGAAATGACCAGAGACAACTTCAGCAAACCCAAAGGTGTTCATTGGAGTAACAGTGGACCCGAAGAGTAGCCACAACTAATATATGATTAGTTCCACAGAACTCGGCATTCTGATACACCCTGCAGTTCTGGAGGATCCTCCAGCGAGTGCTAACGAGGATGTGGTCGATCTCCTTGGCCACATTACCTGTTTCGCTGTACCAACGATGTGAGTCAAAACGATGCTAAGAGCCTAAAATTCTCAATTTCTGGGACCTAGCAAAGTCTCAGAAAATGAGGCTATTCTCACTTCCACCACCAGCTCCTGAGCCATGAGGACCGACATACATCTCATAGGCAGCTCGGTCGCAGCCAGATACCGCAATGAAGGACAGCTGTCTGTTACTGATGTAAGTTTGGCATAAAACATCTCTTTCACATCAAGTTCATAAACATCAGTTGGAGCATACACAGCAATAAGAGACATGAAGCCAAATGTAAGCTTCAGTCTCAATACCATAATGCGCTCATCGACTGGAGTGACCTCTACTACCGAGGGTTTAAGTCTGCTGGAGATGGCTATGGCTATTCCCTGGAGATGGTGGCCATCACTGCAGCCCAACCAGTAAAAGTGTAGCCGCCCACACTAATCGTGCTGCTGTCAGGTCTTCTCAACTCGAGCCACCTTAACTCTCAGCTTCACCTTCAACAGTAGTGGTAACCGATCGTCCTGTTGCAAAGGGCGGACATTCCAAGCTCCACCCTGACAGCCCGCCTAGCCCATTCGCGCCGGGTAAAAATGAACAAAAAATGGGGAAAATGCTGTGCTCATTTTTTATATTTTTTGTGAAATGTCTCTACACATAGATGGCTATGCCTTACCTGATTTCACCTTTACTTGAATTGGTGGGAAAATGTATTTTTTACTAGTGCTATGAATATCGATGGTTATTTTTATTATAAACATTAGTAACAGCAAAATAAGATAACGCAAATTAATTTCGTAAATTAAAGAAAAGGGTAAACAGGCGAGACAGGCAGTACAAGTACAAGTGGAGCCATCTATGTTTGAAAACAATTAAACAAGTAAACTCACAGTGAGCCCGTCACGTATAAGTGACGCCCGGCGCGATTGGGCTAGGGTTTAACCTCAGGCAGACACTCCATGTGGACACCACCTCTGCCACCTCCATCGATGCTGCCCCATATAGCGAGGGTTGGCTGGCTGCATCCCAGCGGCCGCTGGGATGCAGACGGGAGTCCCAGCAGTCGCCAACTTAGTAGGACCCACAGCCTGCCTTTCTTGTTGAGTAAGAGGGACGTTTGCCCTCCCCCCAGCACCAAAAACTACATGTTTTGCTGCCAGTTGGGATATCTTGGGGAGGCAGACTGGCAAGGCCTGCCTCCCCATATCTAACCATTAACCCCAGGGGGCACGGGGGCAGGAGTTGGTAGGAAGCCAGGGCTGTCCACACTCCAGTAGACCAGTAGACTCTGTACCTTTAGGCCCTCCTGCTGCTCCAAGAGCCTCCACAGTTCAGCCTATGACCGCAAGGTATCTCGTTTCCATGGACTGCCACGAGGAGGCACTGCAGAAGACTTGATGATGGAGAGGCTATAAGCTGGCAAGGGAGTCTTAGGCACGGCTGCTCCCAGACACACACACACACACACACACACACACACACACACACACACACACACATATATATATATATATATATATATATATATATATATATATATATATATATATATATATATATACATACACATATATAAATATAAATATATAAATATATAAATATACACACACACACACACACACACACACACACACACACACACACACACACACATATATATATATATATATATATATATATATATATATATATATATATATATATATATATATTATATATTTATATATCTATATTTATATATGTGTATGTATATGTATAATACATGTGTATGTGTAAATATATATATACATATATGTATATATATATATATATATATATATATATATATATATATATATATATATATATATATATATATGTATGTATGTATATTTATATGAGTGTATGTATATATATACATAGGTAGGTAGGAGTATTGTAGCTACATTTCTCTTCGTGTGCTTTTATTTGTGTGTGTATAGAGTAATGTATACCAGTCCTTATATAACTGTGTATTCATATTAAATACTGATATATATATTTTAGCGAATAACAACTGTCACTAAAAAATCGGCAAAAAGAGATACACTTTAGCCCGCGAATCGTAAGCCCCGCCCCTTCATGACGTCATCGATGTCGTGTCAACAAGAGGTAAACAAAGTGACATGGTCATCCCTTCCCGATGAAAGCGACCGGTTTATCGTTATTTTTGACTCGAAATGGAGACTAAAATTGCGACAGTGACTCTCCTCTGCGTCCATCTGGCCTTTGAGACTGTCCTAGCTGCTAACCAGATCAAAGGACTCGACGATGCCATACTATTTCGACTTACTTGGCCTGGATCGGAAAACAGCCTGTTGGTAAGATAACATTTTCTCTGTCATTTTATTATTGATCTATTTACCCCAATTTTACAATAATTGACTTAGAGGGAATATGCTGAAATATCAGTTGATGAGCGTAGTGTTTCTTGTTTTCGTCCGCGTGTCGTATTGAGGGAGAAAAAAAGTAATAGATAAATTGAACTTCATTTTTTCATTTCCATATTTTCGGTTTTCTTTTATAATCCATTCGTGTATGAATATCTTATCAGTGCTTTCTCCTTCTACTGTTTTTATTTTCCTTCGTGTTTTTTCTTTGTTCTCCTCTTCTTCTGAGTGAAGAGAACTTTTTTTTCATGCATTTTACATACCCTCTGTTATTTGATATTCTTTCTGTTCTCTAAAACACTGAGTGGATTACCAACTATTGTAAGAAGAAACATGGAGGAAATTGTGTAGGAATGTAATGGGTTTAACATTACATAGGAGACCTAAAGAGGTCAGTTGATGAGCATTAATTAGGCAAATGTTATACTACAGTAGATATTTTGAGTTTAGTTATACCAGTGTTAGTGTTAATTAGATGCAAAAAAGGTTGTGTGTCCATTAATTAGACTTTTTTCTTTATTTTTTTTTTAAGTGAATGACTTTGAACTGTAACATTTTTTTGATGTGTGTTTGTTGACTGAAACTGCAATATAAGGGAGATTATATGCTGATACAGGTGTAAGTAGGTATCTCAAATTAGGGGTCTCAAATAGTGGAGAAATATGAGTAAAAAGAGCTATTTAGCTCTTAGAAATAATGGTATATTTTGTATGAAATTAATCCACAGTCTACTTGAATATATTTAGTCCTTAGTTAGGTATTTACGTAGATATGAATAAGTAAACTCTTTATGTATGTATGCACTTCAAGAAATTTTCTTGAACTCATTAGTTGATTTCTTAATTACTGTTTGAAACTTACTTTGTATAGCAAACAGTTTCAATTTCTCTTACTCTACTTTAACAGTAAGTTTTAGTCAAGCCAAATCACTGTAAATATGGTACTCTCACTTAAAGTCTCACATATCCACAGGTGTCAACTGCTCTACTCTTTTAAAATAATTTCTCCACCCCTTTCAATTCATACTCAGTTTTTCAAATTTCAACAGAGCAGAGTTTGGTTGTTAATATTGAAGAGCTTGACTTTACATGTCAGAAATGAAATATCAGAGCTGAAAGACGCATTTGTATAAAGATAATTTTGGGTAGATACCCAGTAGTAGTAGTTTTTTTTCTTTCCAATTCAGTGAGTACTCTCTAATTTCTCTTTTCATATTTGTTTTCTTTCAGGAATCGCCCGACTATGAAAAGCTTGTTATGACAACTCCCAACAATGAGCAGTACCAGTGCCTCATCCCAATAAACTATGGAGATGATGGGGTGAGTTTAATGAAATATAGTATCTACTTTTTTAAATTAGAAAAAAAATAAAAACTTGATGAAGAAAGTAAACTTCACATGGTAACAAAAACAAATTAAAAAGATTCATTATTGAATATGAAATTAACATTGAAAATTAGACACCAGACTGTAAATGATTCTGCATTTTCTATTTTCAAAGTATAGAATTCTAATCTTTCTTTTCTAATGTTTGCTGTAGTAGTGATGTTGTGTGCTTCATTCGCAGGATGATGCAGATATCTACACAGGACCAAATCCCTTGACATTATTGATGCCATTGTTTAAGAAGCAGACATGCAACTTGTGGGTGAGTTCTGCTGCTGCCTTACTCTGTCCATTTTTCTTCTTTCTCTTACTATTAGATATTAAGAAATGCTTACATATCCTTACATATTTTTATATACATGCATGTACCTACATATATATATGTTTATAGCTACATACAGACAGGTGCTCTTACCTCATGGAATCCCATCTCCAGTATTTAGAGGTTGATGTACCTGTTCGAATTCAATTTTATCTTTAGTACATTGGTGGTTCTTCCATTTTTAAATAGATCTTTATGGAAATCTGAATTGTTTGATATCCTAACATTTTACTTTTGTTTGTGAATTATTGTTCTTCCTCTTCTTGTTTATGACTTCTTGTTCTTCTTGCATTGATCTGCAATAATGTACATCTCTACCCACCCTCCATCTCTCTCTTTCTCTCTCTCTCTCTCTCTCTCTCTCTCTCTCTCTCTCTCTCTCTCTCTCTCTCTCTCTCTCTCTCTCTCTCTCTCTCTCTCTCTCTCTCTCTCTCTCTCTTACCCTCTTACCCTCTTACCCTCTTACCCTCTTACCCTCTCCTCTTTCTCTCTTTCTTTCTTTTTCTTTCTTTCTCTCACACTCACACTTAGTCACTCACTCACTCACTCAGACACACACACACAGACTAAGAGAATGAGAAAATAAGAGACTGAGAGAGAGAGAGAGAGAGAGAGAGAGAGAGAGAGAGAGAGAGAGAGAGAGAGAGAGAGAGAGAGAGAGAGAGAGAGAGGGAGAGTGTTTCACACATACACAGATGGCACTTGACATTCGGGATGGTTATATTCCTAAAGTCCTCATGAGTTAACACATCCCCCCCCCTCACATACACATATACACACACATACATATATACATGTAAATCCATCCTGCCACATCCTTATTGACTGCATTCCCTGTAAGCTTAACCTCAGTACACTCCCCCTCTGCAGCTGGAGTCATATTGGACCTACGAGCTGTGCCATGGCACTCACCTGAAGCAGTACCGTGAGGAGCGAGAGGGCAAGTCCCCTCGAAGGCAGGAATACATCCTCGGCATCTTGTCCATGGAAGAGCTACGTATTGCAGGTATGTTAGGGGATTTTGCATTTGTAACAAAAGCTACATAAATTTAGCCTTCTGTTCAACAGTTAAATGCTCATGTTCAACCTGAATTTCAAATTTGACGATACTTTGTCACATCATGATGTAAAATTCATCCCAGGTGACATCTAATCACATCATGAGCCCATTTCCTGCTGACTGGAATGACATCTCAAGAGCCCAGCCATGAGAAAGACAATATCCCCCGAACTACACACGCCAGTGCATTCCAGTCACATAACTTTGCTAGAAATTAGATTAATCAATCCCTATGATATTAAATGCTCTCCCCCCATTGTACAATTGCAACCCTATCTGCTTAGCAACCCTCCTTGAACCCCAACTCTTCACTACTCCATTCCCTAACTGCAGAGGCCAAGCTTGATGAGGATCTGAAGGCGAACCCCAACCCAGTCATCCCCACCACCAAGATCGAAGGGATTGACATGCCCTACTTTATGATCAACTACACTGATGGCACCATTTGTGACCTTACGGGAAAGCCACGTGTCAGTCACATCCTCTTTGTGTGCTACGAGAAAGGCCGCCACGACATCCACAGCATCAAAGAGACATTTACATGTGAATATGAGATTGTTGTGCTCTCGCCCAACATCTGCCAGCATCCTTTTTATAGGTGGGTTGGAGGGAAAAAACTGGGGAATGGGGTAAAGATTTATTTATGTATGTGTGTTTGTATATGTTTGTAGGTGCATTAATGCTTAACAGAGTAATTGTACACTGGATAGGCCTGGAAAGGAGATAGCAAAGGGTATTCTTGGTGTTATCTTTTTTCTTTTCTTTTTTCACATTCTAATCATCCATTTCATTCTTCCTTTTGTTAATGATTGGAATATCTATTTCTAGCAATTTATGTCTCAATACTGATTGATAAAAAAGAAATACAGTCAGCATCCTCTCACTCCTGATTGCCTCTACTAAGATTCTTTCTATCACTATTAACTGGTAAAAGCAAGTATTTATATTTCTTTTCATTTCCTTTTTTTATCCATTCTTTTTATTGCTGTATGGTAGGAATATGTGTGTGTGCTCTCATCCTTGCTTATGCTGTAATATATCATGTTACATTTTTACTTTCTTGATATTATTCATAACCTCATTTTTATTTAATTAAACATTTTTGTTATATATATCTACATACTATGCTTAGTATTTATATTTATCTAGTTTTACACAAACCCCCATTTTCATTTACTTGTTTGATTCATTTTCCCCTTAGTTTCTTAGTTTCTTTATTCAGCACTGATTTACTTCATCATCTTTGTTAAATGAATCTTATTCCTTTCTACCCACATCACTTATCTCAGTCATGATATCAGAGGGTTGTGGGAAAGGATTATCGTGCAAACAGTGGCATTTGTATGTGTAATTGTGCCTTCTGTATTTTTCTGATCTCACCCATCCTTATTCAGTTCAACGTACAGATATCACACATTCCTTATTTATTCCCATTTCTCTTGTGTATAATCACCTCAACCACTTTAACAAGGAAAAGAAAGGAAGCCAACTGAAGCCTCCTCCTGACGCTTTCACCCACAGGCCACGGGAACTTCCCCAGACGGACCTCCACTGCATCCCAATGTCAGGCGCTCCCAAGAGGCCACGGAACCTCCGGAGGATAGAAACAGAGAGCCTCAAGATGCGCTCCAATGGGGCTATGGTTAGTTGCCGACCCAGTGAAGGGAAGGGATGCGGATTGTGAAGGATTTGGAGGGCTTGGGCTTGTGATTGTGATTGTTGTTGTGATTATTAGGAGGAGGATGCTAGATTGTGTCTTCCACTTTTTGAGGGGGGAGTGGCAGGGTATTGTTAGTTAGTAGATTTTTTTTTTTATGGAGTTGTTATTGTTGTAATAATTTTGTGGAAGGTGGAGCAATTCCCCTTTATTGCTAATATCATTGTTATTATTTTTGTTGATATTGTTATGATCATGATTATTGTATTGTTACAACAGTTACTGATATCATTAATATATTTTTCTTATCATGAATATTAGTATTATAAGCATTATTATTGTTATTGTTATTATCATTCAGATTTTTTTTGTCATCATTATCAGCAATTTAATCACTTTGTCTCTGTTAGAGATTTTTTCTTTCTTTCTTTCTTTTTTCTTTTTTTCACTGACTACAAATTAGACTTTCTGTCTGTCTCTTTCTTTTTATTTATAGCTGAGCGGAGTTTCATCCAGTGGCTCCATAAAACTCGAGGTAGTGGACGATCCCGACCACCCCAGCATAGCCTCCGTTACCCCTGAACCCCCTGCCAAGCTGTCCCTCTTCCCCCCCCAGCCAGCCATTGACCAGAAGCTTGTGCAGGACTTCCTCAATGGTGAATACTGCCTGCATGGGGTAAGTGGAAAGCAATTCCTCAAGGGAGACATAGGAGGTCCTTTGTGTGGTTTTGACAGGAGCAGGCTTGTGTGTTGTGACTTTTTTATATTTGTTTTATTTTATTTTATCTGTTTATTAACTTGCTGATGTTTTTCAAATCCATTTGAAAAAAGAAGAGGATTTTTTTGTCGCAATGATTTTGTTCCTTTTTAGATTTGGGTATACATACCCGCCCCCTCCTCACAGTTTGATAAAAGGCTTAAAAAAAAAACATATAAACCCTTGGGGGCCAACAATTTCTTTTATCTTCTTTCACCTTTTTCTTCTTAATTCATTCTCCCTCACCCACCCCACCCCAGGGCTCTGGATGGTGGAAGTACGAGTTCTGCTACGGGCGGAAAGTGGAGCAGTATCATGAGGACCGCGACGGAACTAGGACCGTAATCCTCTTAGGGCAGTTTGACTTGGAGGGCCATCGTGCATGGATACAGAAGGTATGCTTAACCCATGCACACTGAGTAAAAATTTAGTTAAGTTAGACTAGGACAGGCATCCAAATACTGGACACTACACCATGTCTAGGCAATTGTCCAGTTTGTGGTTGGGTGCCCTCATCATAGCAGTCAGGAAATTGACCCATGATGGAATGAGGCATCACCTTTCATCTGTATTTATTGGTAATGACATGATAGAACATTTTCAGTCACCAGTGGGTTAAAGAGGTGGAGATTTATGGTGAGAAATTAAAACTTGTGGTGCGGAAGGATGAAGTTGGTGGAGCAGACTCATGGTTAAAAAGACATGATGTAGAGGGGTGAAAAGGGTAAGATAAGAAATAAAAAAGTGAAAGTCAGTAAAGGAATGAAGAGAGTGAGGTTGGATGTAGAAGAGGTGGATTTTGTATAATGTAATATGAGAAAGCAGAAAGAAATAAAGCTGAAAAAGGAAACAGGTTTTGTGTGGTGGAAATTGAGAAGCTGGTAACTAAATTAGAGTCAAATGGGAAAGTGGTAGGTTTTATAACCCAATCAGTCCAGATTAATATCCCATCACATCATGGCTAACTATTCCTTGTGTCATGATGACAGCCCATCATGTTATGTGGGTCAAGCCTCCTCTAAATTGTGTGCACTAAACAGTTGCTCACTTGTTTGGCCCTGGCAAAAGCAAAGAGAGTCGGGGGTTAATTTGTTTCCCACGCTTCTAATTTTTCTCTCAGACAGATGATTTCACATGCACCCCAACATGTACTTTGGTTTAACACCAGGAGCACCTGTCATGAGTAGGTCACAGAGAAAAGTGGGAAAATGGGAATAGGGAAGAAGAGGTGTTGGAGGAGGATGGATTCTATGAGAGAATTGTGCAAAAAGAGGAGAAGAGAGGAAGGTGTAAGTAAGAGTAGGTTCATAAGTAGATTGCCAGTGGCATATATATACCTGCCAGAAATGTCCAGATTTTGCAGTTGAAGTTCTTCCTGGTGTTCAATATCCAGTTTTACTACTCTGTGCAATCTTTCTAAACCATTTTAGATGGTTTAAGACAAAATAGATAATAATGAAAACTGACTGGGAGAGACAAATGTTCAGGTGCTCATTTTGGTTGGCAGGTAACAAAGTAAGGGATAAATTATGGTCAGAACGAACATGAGAACACAGTCAAGGAAAAATGGAGATGTAGAGGACTTACTTTCTCAAGCCAAATTGACATCACTTCTTTTCCAGCACCCAGAGAAGGTTTACAAACCTGGCAGGAGGTATGTGTCACACTTCTACTCTGGAGGCACGACCTGTGACCTGACGGGCAGACCACGTCAAGTTGAAGTCAAACTCAAGTGCAAGGAGTCGCAGAGGTATGTGGGTTAAAGTGTTGCTTTTTTTACATTTGCATGTAAACTCAATAAATTTTTTACTCTGTAGGGATGACAGGACAAGAATTGTTGTTTTAAAATTGTAATTTTACTTTTTTTTCAATGATTCATTTAATAAATTTACTTTTATTTCATGTTCATGTTTTGGGTACTGGAAAAATGCTTCCTACTTTCTGACAATTGCATATTTAATATATTCTTACAAAATCTCTTTTTCTTCAAAAATATAGTCCTATAAATATATCTAAGCTGTTCCTCTTTTTTCCCCTCCATTTCTCCCTCTCTCCCTCCCCCTCCCTGAAATAAAAGCTTTACTACATCAAACTTACTAAGTTGGAGGGGCAGGTAATTCCAAGAGGTTTTCAGTCTTACTCCATATTCTTCAGTACTGTAGTAACCCCTGATAATTGATACCTGTTAGTTGGTACCTGGTACTCCTTGCCTGCTCTTCTCTAAGTGTAGTAGTGGTATCCTCAAGGTTAAGATAGTTTTTGATTGTTCAATTTTCATGTTTTTCTCTGACTTATATTGTTCATCTGCACTTTTTCTTTCTTTCTTTCCTTTTTTTTTCCCGGTCTTTCTTTTAATGGCTTGTCGTTCCTTCGGTTTATAACTGAACTTTTTCTTGCCTTTTGGTTCATCATATGTGATTATGAGAATGTAGAATGGCCTTTTAATATATCACATTTGCATTTAACAAGATACAGGAGACAGACACATGAGTAGCAATTTATTATTTTTAGAATTGCATTATTTTATTAGTGTTTTTTTATTGTAACATACATCTTTGCTTTTTTCTATCTCTGCTTCCATTTTGTAGTCTGGTGTGTCTGCTTGTGATTGTGATGGTAGAGAACGTATCACAAGATTGAACTGCTTTGAAATGTTCTGTTCTGTATGATCCTTCTCTTCACTCCTTTAATTCCCCTATATTTCTTTTTCTTTCTTTTCTTTCATCTCCTCTTCCTTTTTCCTCATCCTCTTCCCTTAATTTCTTTCTTCTGTTCCTGCTCCTTCTTCCCCTCTCCTCTCTTCCTCCCCCTTTTCCTCCTGCTTTTCCTCTTGCTTCTGTTCTCCCATTTTCTGATGTTTCTTCATCTCCTTTTCTTCCTCTTCATTCCCTTGCATGCTACCTCAATTTAAATTTCCCCCTTTTCATCCTTTCTCTTTCCCTCTACTCCCCTCCCTTCCTCCTATCTTTCCTCTCCCTTTACTCCTATGATCCAGATGACATGAGCATCACATCATGAAAAAAATTGGCTTGAGGGGTGGGTGATGTGAATATGGCATCAGGGGAAAATTTGGCTGAGGGCTGTCTGATGGGAACTTGCCATCATGAAAATTTTGGCTGAAGGCCAGGGTGACGGGAATGTCTCGCCACAACTGCGCAGGGCTCT